TTGCTTTATATAGAGAGATGTTTGAATGCGTCAGGTCGGCGAATATGTACATATAATTAACATAACATCTGTTAAATGGGGAATCTGAAAAGGCATTAAAATCTGTTGATTGGATGACCTTGCAATTCTTCAGCTTTTTTTTCAACAGCACATGTCACTTTCATTCTGATTTGCCTTTCACTCAGTCGCTTCTTTATGTAGGAAGATGGTTTCCACACAAAGAATAAAATAAAAAGGCACAGACGTGTTTAATCTGCAGTACCCTTTCATATTCATGTTCCTCTCACAGACACAAAACTATGTATTATGTATTAATCAGTGCATTTGTAAGAATATACACACTTCTTAAATTGCTTTTTATATTTTAATCTTTCAAGCCTATTATGCAAACACACTCATGGAGCTTTCAACAGCCATGCAAGGTTTCAACCATGACTAGTGCTATTCATTTACTTACAAAAAAATGCAGCCAAAGCGTATCAAGGCCCGGAGAATGTTAAAGAAGATTGCTGAAGGTCTTTCTCTTGTTTTCTGTGTGTGGTGGTGGTAGAGAGGAAGTCACAGGCTGGGGACCTTTGTCTTTTGGAAAAAAGCAAGTCATTATTATGTGAATGATTTAAAATAAAGACTTAGTTTAAGCATAGTATAAAGTCAGGTTAAGGTTAGATGTAGGCAGTTAGTGGTTGTAAAAAAAAAAAAAAAGAAAGAAAGAAAAAGTCCTTATTAAAGTAATAAAACCACATGTGGGTAGGTATGTTAAATAGAGGGGGAGAATTTCAGAGTACAACTACCGTAACAAAAGGAAAGCTGGATGATGATGCACCAGAAAGTCTGTGTGAAACAGTGTGCCCCTAAAATGTGTTACTGTTCTTTGAAAAACCTTGACTAAAATATCAAAAAGTCATTTAAATCGGATCAACTACATTCAGACTTGTGTAGTCGTTTTCACTCTTTTCTGTTTGACTTCTGCATTGTAGGCATGATGGACGGTGCTGAACTAAATAACTGATATGTCCATTGACAAAATACATGTCAAGTGAAACTGTTTCTTCTTTGTTTGCAGAACCTGCACACAGTCAGTTTCTCTAAGCCAGGATACATGGAGCTGAGTGGTCTATCGCTAGCCGTTGACACAGAGATCAGCCTGTCATTCAGCACTCTAGAAGACACTGGGACCATACTGCTGGCAGTAGGCAGAGGGTCACCAAACAGACAGAAGGTTGTTGTTATTTTATTAGGGTTTTGTTTTTTGTTGGTCCATCTGTTTTACTCACTGAGTCACTCCAATACAATATACTTCTTAAATCTGAGTTGATCAAGTTCCTCAATCTCTTATAGTTGTAAGATATTTCTCATGGGTGGGGAACAGTGTAATATGGAGAGTAGCTTCATTTGAACTTAAATATTCATTCACCACTAATCACTCAAATCTTTCTCTATTGTCACCAGTTTGTGTTCAATATTTTTTCAGAAAATAGTTTAAAAATTGTTAAATTGTTGTTAATAATTGCCATAAAATCTAATAAAACTGCAAGAATGTACAGTATAATCATTTATTATATAGTACATATATAGAATTTATGTAGTATGGAAGTGAAATACAATATAAAAATTGTTTGGTATATTGTTTCAGTCCATCTTTGTATTTGTGCTAAAGAAACATTTTTAAAACATCCATTTGACTTTAAAGGGTTAAAACAATGTTTGCTGTGTAGTGACAAAATTTGCCAGTGTGTGCATGGTAACATAACAGCGTGCCTGTTGTCTAATAATATGGCTTCTATTAAAAACCTTGTAATGCAAGCTCAGTTTTTTCTGGTTAAGTTTCTTGCACATCTGCCCCTTTTATGGTACAGTTAAACTATGGAAAACAGCAAAGCCAAAACTATTGTGAGCGTTTTCATTGAAATTGTAATACAAACAGCTGCAGAGCAGCTGAGCTACAAATTGATCGCAAACTGTCTGCGTCTATAAATTTATGGCAATAATTTGCCAATCTGTGTGAGTGATTTCAGTCAGGTCAAGGTGGACTCAAGTGACTCACTTGAGTAATAGCATTACTCAAGTGAGTAATCCAGTGTAAGGGTACCATTAGGTAATGATAGCACTTTATGATAAAGCATTGTGAAGCTATTAGTAAGGTGTTAGCAAGTGCTTAATTCATCATTGATACAGCATTATTTCTCCTTAGAAGGCCATTTATAAATGCAGATATATGATCATGATTCATGACTCAAAGCTGTGCATGGTGTAAGAGTAGCAGATAGATAAACATATCTCTGTTTATAAATGACATACCAAGGCTGAGTAATATGTATGTAAACAATAAATTGAGCACTTCCCAATACCTTACTAATGCTTAATAGTGTGACATTATTAGATAGTGCTACCAAGGCAGTATCAGAAAACTTATTGGAAGAATCTGTGCACAATAACATTGTTCTGAATATCTTTCCAATCCAGGCCCGCTCCACAAGCCTTTCAAAGTCCAAGAGGAAGAGAAGACAGTCAGGAGAGGTGGGTTCACCATGCACAGTTTGGACCCAAATGCTGTCTTGTTTGCCTAAGTGAATGGCAGTTACATAAGTGCATATTAATGAGATTTGCGGTTTTTGGCAACTGAGCTAATGGGATTGTTGTTTTCCAAAATGCACACTCTTACTTATACACACCCATAGATGTGCAAAGACTCATACACACCTTTAGTAGCTGTTGTGGATGTTCATTGTATAGTGGCGATCTTAGCTTTTAGCTGACTTTGCCAGTGCGTCCACACAGTCACACAAGCAACTTTTCTGTAAGTGAATTAAGTTTCCATGAGTGCATATTAATGAGATTTGACTCTGTTGGCAACTACACTGATTAGATTGTTTCACAGCTAAAACACCTTTTTTTCCACGTGCACACACACATGTGCACACATGCCTGTCAACCCTAGCCAGTGCTAAATAATTAAATCCTTTATTTTAACTCCCCTGAAAACACCATGGGCAGCATGTCATATTTGCAGCTGTGTGTGTTTGTATGTGCACGTAAGGGGTTTGTGTGTCATATCAGGTGTGAGGATGGCACTCACACGCGTGCAAATTTAAATGTGTGTCGTGTTTTTGTGTGTGAGAGAGGTAGAGAGGACAGAGGGTTACCTCTAGCTTATCCATCATCACTGGTTGTTAGGCACATAAATCTATTTTTGCTAACTATGCTGGCAGGCACAGCATTTGTGTGTATGTGTGCGCCTCTGTACGTGCGTGTGTGGAGAAAGGTTAAGCGAGGTTAAAAACACCATCAACTCAACTTGGCCCTGACTAATGGCTGTTTTAGAGAGGGACACAGAGAGAAGGGGACAGGAGACAAAGGATGGAGGGATGGAGGAGAGAGATTTAGAGGTGAAAGTAAGGATAGAGAAGTAAGAACAAAGCTAAAAAGAAAGGAAATGAGATGATGGGGAGGATAGTCTGCTGTGGGAGAGAACAAAATTGAAAAAATGGAAAGAGCTGGGAGCAAAAAAAATGAAAGGACGGGTACAGAGGAGAGGTAAGAAGAAAAGAGGTGGAAGAATAAGAATATCTTACGGAAGATGAAAAACAGTAGATTGTTTTTAAGCTGGCCAATAAAGAAAGAAAAACAAATAATCACCTGTAGGTAAAAGATGGAGACCACCATGATGTGACCGAATATTTGTAAAGCATTTTTGCCACAGGTCACTTTAAAATAAAAACTAATAGCCCTGCAAAACTGTACTGTTGCAACCTGTCTGTCAAAATATAGCCACACTCCTAAATAATACCCTGTTTTTGCAGCAGATTTATTCTAAATGGAACTATAATTGTACATTCAATATTTCTCATGAGTACACAGCAAATCCAGCATGTCCAAATTAACACTGTCAGATTTGTGTTAAGTACCAAATCTGTCTGGAGTTGATAAATTAACACTTATTAATGGTAACTAGGTGTTAAGAGTTTATATACTAACTCTCACAGAGTATTTTAGTTTAACTACATAAGTGTTATCTTCTAATTGTAAAAAAGTTAGAATTTTACTCTTCTGAACTTTTAGAAATTCCTTTGGAAATAAAGATGCATTACAAAGAGGCAATGGTTTTTGAAAAACATTTATTTTGAACTGTGCACCACAATTTCAAAACATTTTCTGAAACATGTAACAATATGGAGCAATGTACATGTTCTCACTTTCATTAGAATATTGTTTATCAAACGGTCT